GCATGGGTTTCTCCCAAACTAAGTTAATTTCAGAAATTTAGGCAAATGTCTTGTAAAATAAGTCTCATTCTTTTATTCCAAACCATGTAATGCTGCATCGCCTATCGAATCACAATTTGGTCAAATCAAAAAGTTGCAAAAGTGATTTAAATGTAGTTTTGCAAAATTATATATGTGTGAAATGAACAAAACGCACAAAGGGCAACATATGAAGGGCATAAATACACGCTAAGACATGCAAAATGTCACCACTTGCCATTTGTGACAGACACCAAACACCAACCACTGAATGCTGAACACCAACAACCACCGAACACCATCAAAAAGAAGTTGAGCCCATAAAAATATGTGACCAGTTTGTGGAAATAACATACCATCAAATCTAAACAAAGTTTCATTTGTACCTAAAACTTATATTTTATGCAACCTTGAATAAATACGAACCCATCAAGGTGTACAAATATGAACTTATATATTAGGCAGGTGCCTGGTAGCTTGCCTATGAAGTATCGACATACGGTACCCTACAGTGTCTAAAAACTCGAAAAAATAAGGAACACCATTAAAATGGTAGTCTCGAGGGGAATTAAAGGAAAATGAAGATATGGTTTAGTTTTTTTGGAGGAAATAGAAACAGCCAGGAGTTTGTAGGTTTACAAATGAGAGAGGACACGATTGTGAGCAGACACACATTTCACTTCAAGCAAACCTGCACTTAGAATTTCTCTCCAACCATGCATATTTCATTCCTTTTCTCTCTAAAATTTGAATGAACTGCCTGATTTTCTTGCATTTCTATACAATTAAGAGTGTTAACTACATGCCTGTTTACTCTATTCCTTGCTGATTCCACTCTTTTCCACTCTATTTTGCCTTTCAAAACATGACCTCAAAGACATTTCACTCAAAGCAGCCATCTTTTATCTGGTGCTTTTATTTCACCATAAAATTATTTCATAAAACACAATTTGTTTATGATTTCCTCAAGGAACAAGCTACTACATCTAGTAAATAGAAGAACATCCTTGAAAATAACCAAATCTTTAAATTTTAACAACTTTTGGAAATTAACTTTTTAAAGCTATAATCTTGCAAAATGGAATCACTTAAATGCAAAAATATAACAAGTATTTATTTCAAGACAAATGATGTATAAAATTACTAAATACATAATTGTTTTAAATATTCTTTTTTTCAAACAATCCGCTTTATTCTTTGTTTTTATTATCAATGTTACAAATATTTTCACAAGGAATATGACTGACCGCAACATTAAATGACAACTGGACGATCGAATGATCGAATGATACGTCTGATCCTCTTCCCTTTTCGATTTGTGAGATCGCAATGACATGAGGGGCATGTTACATAGACCCTCCAAGTGCAAAAATGTCAAGATGATCGTATTTTAAATTATGAAATAAAATAGAGAGACACAGTGGAGTCAGCAAGGAATAAAGTAAACAGGCATGCAATCAGACCTCAAATACCATAGAAATACAAGAAAATCAGTTTATTCATTCAAGCATTAATACAAGAAAAATGTGTGGAATACTGGCATCAAAACCAAATAAAAAAAAATTGGCTCATTTTCGACAGAGGAACACATGAGAGAGGTCCAGATAAGGTTCACCACCATGTTACTGTACTCAGATAAAGTCACGTATCATAATAAAAATTAGATTAGTAAAATAGCAATGTCTCTTTTAGATTTTTCCATTGCTTTGTAAGTCTTGCTTGATGCGTTCTAAAATTGCTTGGATGATGGGATTGTTTACCTACTTGGTGGTGTTCTTGATTTGTTAAAATGCTTGCTTGATTATATTCTTGCTTGATAAAATTGCTTACTTATTGAATAAGTGAGATTGCTTAAAGGCCCCATATAAAGTTTAAACCACATTGGCTTATATTGTAGTCTTACCCAATGTTATCAAAGTGTGATATGTGAAACTTTTTTTTTTAATTTCAAAAAGTGGTTTTTGATAGACTTTTTGTTCCAAAATTTGTGAATTTATTTAAAACCAACTTTTAGAGGTCACTCATATCTTCTAATTAGCCACAATTCATACCAATGTATAGCATACATCCTCCCTTATTTTTGGCCGAAAAAATTAAGAAAATCGGTTCATAAATAAGCGAGAAATGAACTTATCAGTGCATGAAAATGGTTCTGAGAAAAATGCATTTCAAAATTTTAGTTCTCATAGAAACCAATGGTACAATGATATCTAAAACATAATTTATTCTTCCTTTTAACCTGGTTAAACGATCAACATTGGTTTTTTATGAAAGTCTAACATATTTAGGAAAGATTGACATCGAAAAAAAAATTTCAATTCTTTTAAAAAAGTTTTTGGTACCTTGGTGACATCACTAATGTTTCAAAATATTTTTGATATGCTAAAACATTGAAGTGGCCCATTAAATATGGCATTTTATTATTGAAATAGTGTGTCCTTTGTTCAATCTTTGAATTGGTGTTAAAAAGATTTTGAATTGGTGTTAAAAAGATAATATTTTTTGAAATGCATTAAGAAATAGTTGATGATTAAGAAATTTCAACTTTATTTGAAAAATGGCGGGAAAATTGAAAAAATGGCGGGAAATTTGAATATTTGAGAAATGAAATGCTCACAACTTTTTTTTCAAATTTTTTTTTTTGTTCAAAAATCTCTAAAATCACTTTTTAAGTCCTGACAAATAGTAAATGAATGATAAAAAAATATTTTCAAACTTTAGACGGGGACTTTAAAAACACAAGAAATTGTTGACTTTTAAAACAATACCTGTAGAATAGACATCTTTAGACTGAAACCGAAGAACTTGTAATTTATACAAAATTTATGAACATTAAATCTGTCTGAGAGATGGCCTCTTCAAAAACAATTCTAATTCATTTATTAAAAAAATAATGTTTTTATATCAGAAGACATGGGTAACAGCAATACATGGCCACAGCGATGACACCACCAAACCACAAACAAATCCTCTAAGACGAAATAAATTGTACCGCTGACCCAACTTCCTGTTTTGAACAATTCTCCCAGACAGCTTAGGTGCAAAAACTCGGTTACATATCTGAATAAACAACGTTTATCACTATGTCATCAGATGTGTTGTACTTCTATATATTTTATAGTGTTGTCATTGTTGACTATGTTTATATAGGATCATTGATACGAGGACTCGTATTTCACAAATACACAAAGGGTATGCACAAAACGAGACTTCACATGCAGCTTAGCATGCGCAGAATAAGTTATTTAATGACAGGGATTGAATATGTTTTTTATTCTGAGGGAGATATGTGATGTTCCAAAATAATCAGAGCTTGATTGATTTTTCTAACTTGGCTATCACCTTTACCATATTTGGAAATGCCTTATCTTCGAGCTTCAAAGGAAAAAATGTCTGTTGGTCATGGTTTTCCATAGTTTTTTCCATAAAATTTGAATGAACTGTCTGATTTTCTTGCATTTCTATACAATTTAGAGTTTCAACTACATGACTGTTTACTTTATTCCTTGCTGATTCCACTCTTTTCTCACTATTTTGCATTTCAAAACATGACTCCCATGGAACCATAGATTCATCAATGGCTCTTTATCTAAGTTGATGAACTCAATTTGTAGTAACCTTGGCCGAATTTCAGGTAAGTTTTATCTTGGAGAAAATAAATAAAATCAACATGGCAACTATGTGTAAGTTAAGATATAAATTATTTACTTTATACTTGAAAAGCAAGTTTGTTGTCAGAAATAAAAAAAAAAATAAAACAGTCTTATCTGTTCCTCTCCCATGAAAAAATTCATGGTGATAGTATTTATTCCGTCCTTTTACCTCTCATTCTGAATAAACATTCAGGCATTTTTTACATAACTTAGAGTGTACACTAAATGTCGGTTTATTTTATTCCTTGCTGATTTCGCTCTTTTTTGTTAAATTTTCAATAAATAAAAAGCATGAACTTTCAAGTCCATTCATATTTTCAATTTGAACTCTGCTTAACTCCAGTTCAATCATTAACCTAATAAAAAGAAAAAAATCCAAATAAAATCTTTTGAAATAGGTACGAGATCTATTTCATTAAATCATTTTTAGAGTTTTGACTAAATTAAGGTTTATGTAATTCTTCTCTGAGTGCATTATTCTATACTATTTTACTCATAAGAAATGTGATAATAATGTTATATTTATCAAAGAATCCAATGAACTATGATAATTAAAGGCATTTCTCAATATTTACAGAGTAAAAACAATTATCTTTTTCCAGCAGACTCTCTGATTTTTTCAAATTTTAACAAATGTGTACGTAAGCACTGCCAAAGTCAGGATCTTAAAATAGGAGAGACATATTAAAGCCACATTGGATAAAATACTAATTGATTTTGTCTGTGGCTATATTTGGCAATGTGAACAGGAAATTTTGATAATCTTTTGTGAGCCAGTCACCTTGCCCGCTTTGTGGCTATTTGAATCATGCCTTTCCTTGCCTGCTTCATGGCTATTTCATGCCTTTCTACTTGATTCATTGCATCTATCAATTTGCCAATTGTTATCAAGATTAACCTAGTTTAGTTCAATAGATGGCGAAAACTACATTGTGTGTGTTTGATGACATCTATAAACTGTGTTTGGAGTCAAAAGTATATCAACCAACATTTATTCCTGAAAAGGGAATTTCAATAATACACTCAGGGCTGTACTAGTCAGGATTTAAAAATTTTTGAGATCTTAGGTCTCAATATTTGTGAAATCAAATGAGCCAAAAATCACATTTTTTATCTCTACATCAGAGTCTCTCAATCAGCTCCAAACTAAAAAGTTTCATTTTTCAAACCATGAGTCAATAGACATGTACACTGTAATTTCTAATGTACAAATCTTCTGGCTTTACCATCTATATATGATTAAACTTCTCGATTCAAATGCTTAAGGCTCTTAAGACTCTAATTTAAAAGAGAGACAGCTTTCTAATAAAATTCAAAAGCATATCATACCTTGGCATTCTCCGGCGGAGATTCTGCCGGTTTTTCCGGCTCTTTAGTAGAAGGTTCACTAACTCCATCTATAGGGGTTACAACGACGGGAGTGGCTACTTCTTCGTTCTTGTTCTTTTTCTTGTCCTTCTTCTTGGAGGTTCCGTTGCCATTGGCACCATTTTTCTCTGCGGCTGCAGCCTTTTGCGGGTCGAACTTTCCACTCTTATTTCCCATTGTGTATTATGCTGGCTGGATTATGCTGGAATTATATAAAGCAAAGCTTTAACACTGATATCCTGTCATGGTTCATTTTGTTCATGTTTCATTGCTAACCTAGTGATCCTTATCATCAAAGAATGTGCTCTTGCTATATATATACTACAATGTAATATGTAATGTGGTGTAAACTGCACAGTATACGCCTAGCGTCTTGTGCAAACCTTGTTATTCAAATTGTAATAATTATAATATGAAAAAAATATAACATAACATAACATAACATGAAAACATGTCAATCCCTGGATGCAATTTAAAAAAATGTAAACATAATTGATGCAAGGACTTGATTGATGTAAGCATAATGCAAAATTGGAAGATTTGCATGAGACCCCCCATGTGGAGAGGGTCATCTGAAATGCTATAACAGCTACATATATAGATGAGGCTAAGCTATTATTGCCCAAAGGGTGGTTGCAACTGAATTCACTAGATTGCTTGTAGGGTAGACAGTTTGACAGTTCAATTTTATTTTGTAAAAATCTCCACCCGTTCCAGCATGTTCAATATTTATCTGGCAATGTCTTTGTGATCTGCTAGGAGAGATGAGGACAGGCCTAAATGGATTAGACCCCAGTAGAGGGACTGGGGTCAAACTATGGGCAAACTGTGAGCTCAGCTGTGTCAGTGTCTCCAGGTCTCTCTCAAGAGACAACAATATAACATCAATATATGTTCTGCAATAACTATGCATTTATGCCATTGTTATATACTCATACATGTAATATCATATATTAGTTCATCTGTCAAATGTTATTTTCTATTGTTACATATTTCATCATAAACATCCTGATACATATACTATTCTGCAGATGTATAGACAGTATAGCTGACATTTCAATATTATAGAACTGCTTATATTAGATTTCTAAATGCCTAATGTACCATCGTAAAGTAACTATTACTCATGGACCTTAAGGACTTTTCAGTCTTTGAAATAAGAATTGGCTCAAAAAATTGATACATGTCCATGTACTTGCAAAAGAGATCAGGTTACCAGTATTTTAAAAAATATTTTGGTTGATAGGTTAATACTTAAGCTTTGTCACCAAAGGATTTAATGGTTCACCCTCATAGCTTTTGACTTACCGTGCGCAGTTATAAATAACGTAGATAAGCATTTTTAATTTCAAATGAATACTAGGTTTTATCAAATCTAATTCAATTAATGATAAGTTTTGATTTTAGTTACTATGCACAAATAGTGTGAATGTTCAGTATTAGACAGAGCTTTTATCAAACTATGGTCCTTAAAGATCACGATTTGTTGGAGTTTCATTTGAAATCTCAAAAAATAGCCCATCTTATACTTGACATTCAGTTCAGTTTATCCACAATTTCCAAAGAGCCAATACTGGGTAAGATCGCATTATCATGATTTCCTTGGAAAACGTGAACATACTAAAATCCAACAACAAGAACAAGACAATGCTAAGTGAAAGAATAAAAGATGAACATATGGAAATGTGTGTGTAAATGAATGCAAAAATGCAAAAATAATGAACCTCATTTAATTATTAAATGGGAAAAAGTTTAGAATAAGATTCCAGGGAATACAAGATCTATAGTGATATGCAGACACCATCTGGTAGACAGTGAATCACATCTGTGTGTATGCTGCTGTAATATATATGAGTAGCTATGATTGACATGTTCGTCTGTTAATCCATATTTTACCAAACTTCTCTTCAAAATTTGAATGAAGTATCTGACTTTTTGGCATTTTTATACAATTTAGTGTATTGCCTACAAGACAGATATTTTTTTCCTTGCTGATTTCACTTGATCAAGGTGAATTTTTCATTTTAAACAAGACCCCATTGAAATATTTTGAGGGTACAGGATACACAAATGTCTGACTAAAAACATTATCTATTCCTGGTTCTAATACTATAGTGACTGTTGATGCTAATCTATCAATTTCTGACTAATTCACATATAAGGCCAAGAAAAATATTTTCTGGTCACTAGGTGAGATCTCTGCCTTCTTAAAATGATACATCCCTCCCTCCCCCCTCCCTCACTAAACATACAAACCATCTATTTTATTAAGGGTATGGAAAAAGTAGGTGAAGAGGCTTATGCAAGATTTTTATTTTTTACTCGCTCCAAAATACTACAGTAAAACCAGTATATCGAAACACATCTCTAATCTGAAAAACTTGCAATATGAACACTTTTTCTTGGACCCGTTGATTTACCCGTTTATGTACTGAAATGTGAACATCTACTAATCAGAACCCTTTTGGCCGGTCCCAGAGGTGTTCAAATTTCACTGTTCTTATACCCAAAAAAGAATGCAGGCATTCAAACACATGTACTGGTAGAAAGGACTTTATAAGTGCCAACTAAATAAACATAATTACAAACCAAATAATCGATTCCTTTGGAACAATTACAAGATAAAAGAGTGTTATCAACTTGTCTGCAATTGCATTTAAAGACATTTTCAAGCCTGTCATATAAAATACAATCTTTCCAAACCTTGAAGGAATTCTCTCCATTTTCTTCCATTTTCATACAATTAAGAGTGTTAACTACATGCCTGTTTAGGTTATTTCTTGCTAATTCCACTCATTTCTCTCTAAAATCTGAATGAACTGCTTAATTTTCTTGCATTTCTTTACAATTTAGAGTGTTGACTACATGTCTGTTTACTTTATTCCTTGCTAATTTCACTATTTTCCACCTTATTTTCCATTTCAAAACATGATCGTCTTGACATTTCTTCATGGGTCAAACACTTGTGCCCATTAAATGGATGGGCCTTCTGATGAGATGTAGATTTGATAAAAAAAAATGTGATGACTAATCCAAATGCCAGTATAAGATAGCAATCTATTGATTGGTTGAAACAGAAATGAAAATGTAATCATTAACGAATATCTATAAGGTTTATCTAAGAATATTAGAAAGAATTACTTATGAATAATTATGATTTCAGAAACTCTGTATAGTGTCTGCTAAGTAACAAATTGATTTTTCCCCAAGAAGAACACATCAACCATATGTTTGGGAGGGGGCACCCTTACTGGGATGTTCCCCTCGTACCATGGGGGAGAGGTGACAGATGGGGCTAGTCTATGAAAAGAATGCACCCGAGACACTCATAATCAAAGAAAATATAGAATTGATAATTTTTCACTTCGAAACAACAGCAAATCAATAAATAATATATCACAAGGCATTAAACATGAAAAATTCCATCTGGCAAGTTATTGCAGGTAGTTACAAAAATGTGACCATTTGTTACAGATACTGACCATGAGTAATTTTAACGAGTACTATTGAATTAATTTCTTACCTTGAAATTATGAATGTCTGCGCTGTATTGCTAACCCGGAATTGTGCAATATGATATTTCTATTGTTGTCCTCTGTATTATGACTGAAGTCAGTGTGACATTGGTTTTCTTTCTTCAATAGCTTAATGTTAAACCTCTGGAAATACAGTAAAATCAACATAAAAATTCAATTAAATTAATACTCATATAATACAACACAGATTTATTAATTGTAATCGATAATGATTCTTGGAAATGATAGCAATAATGAGTGATTAATAGGAATTGTTCAACTTTTTCATTCTGTTTTCATTCTGTGTCAATATTCCCAAAATCAACATTACCCAATCTCTCTCATTTTACTAAGTTTTCTGTTTTACTGTAAGACGCAACTTCTAGGTAAAACTCCCCTTTCTTTAAATTCAAAAGGACCAGGTATGGTATTACAAATGATTTAAGACAGTCATATATTTTACCATAGTTATTTTGTCAGCATATCATTTATCATCAACATAATTTGTTTTCCTTCAGTAAGCCCCCCCCCCCCGAGGATAATAAAATTATCCACAAGAACTTTTAAAACATGGATTAGATTTAGGATCCAATATCAGATTAGGAATATATTTATTGTCAGGATATACAGTAGTCATAGTCAAACATAAGTATTTTAAATTATTTGCTATGAAGAATATCACCCATGAGAGCAACATCTTGGTTGTCTTGAAGGTGAATATTTCAAATTTGAAAAAAATATATAGTCCCTTCAATATGTTTTTTCAAATTTGAAATATTCTTCACGAACTTCACTAAAATCAGCTCTGCATCATTTTTAAACAATGTAATTCAAATCCCGTTAAAAACCACATCCTAAATCCCAAAAGTACATTTGGTCTGTGCATGGTCTGTGTATATACTGTATTCAGAAATATTTTGAGTTAAAACCTCAAATTTGTCATCATTGCCCTGAAGTAAGTAATACCTAGGTCACTATGACCTTGTGGTTAGTTACCTTTGCCATTAAAAATATCACGATATTCATGTTTAGAAATGAAAAATTGAGTGGAAAGGAGTGGATTAAGCAAGGATTAATGTCAAAAGAAATATAGTGAACACTCTAAATTGTACAAAAATGCGAGGATGACAAAGACTTCTGTTGAAACATACAGAGAAAGTTCTAAAAATTGAGAGTACTTTTTGAGAAATTCTATGTACAGGCTTATCTTATCCTGTTACATCTAGAATATGAAAGCCAGTAAGTAAAATGTCATGAAGGCTATGTTTCAAAATGCAAAATAGAGTGGAAAAGAGTGGAATCAACAAGAAATAAACTAAACAAGCATGTAGGGGACACTTTAAATTATACAGAAATTCCTAACAATATCAGATACATCATTCATTTTGATATATACATAGAAGTTATATTGAATATGCCTTCATGCATTAAGCAGAACTAAACATGTAATGTTGCTGTCTCTCACCTTGCTGGAATAAAGTTAAAGTTAGCACATTTTTGAAATTTCCAATAAATCATTTAATTTTGCATATTTTTAAAAATCGGAGGACTGGATGCTCCTGAAGAAAAATCCCTTTTTACAGCTAAAATACCTAACATCATCTCTCTATGCTTATGGTAACTATGTAAACCTTAATAAGGGAAGTGCAAAATGATGGCTGTTTTAGAAGCTCACATAACCACAAAAACAACAATGTTCTAATACTCTGATGTCTGGAGAGTGCCCCAGCTGTGGTCACACCAAACAGGTATACAATTTCCCTCTAGAGGTAAACAATCTCACCAGAGGTGTACAATTCCATCCACCTGAGATAGAACATTACACCTCAAAGGAAGGGACAACTTGTATACCATGGATCTGCATGAGATCATTCCATCACATTTTCTACATCATGATAAACTACAGTGAAACCTATGTATCAGAACACCTCTCAATTTGAACACTTTTTCTTGGTCCCAATTTTGTTAAGTCCAATTGACTCACATATTGAAAAAACTTGAAATGTGAACTCCTCCTAATCTGAACACTTTTGGCCAGTCCCAGAGCTGTTTTAATAAGACAGGTTTTGTCATTTTCCTCATTTATCTAGCCCAGCCATGTTAATCTTCACAATAAATATCTTTTTGTTCTTTCTAAAGAGCACTTCATCTAGACTCTTCGAGAAAGAGGTCATCCTTCCATCTAGCCTTAACCAATAAGAATACATTTGCACCATTCAAATGCATTTGACCAGCAATAAAAATTCAGCTACCCAATCAAAGTAACATTCACTTAACCTTATTCCTCTCATAAGTACCTGACATTCATTTCGAACTCTCATTAAAGATCATGACAGCTACTTTTGGGGTCTTTAAGATCTTATCAGTATCAAAACTGAATATTCATTTTTCTTATCCAAACCCTATAATGTACTATGCTCCTAAACTAAAGGGCAGGCCCGTAGCCAGAATTTTCCAAGGGGGGGGGGTTCACTTTTCCAAAACAATCTAGGGGGGGGGGGGTGTTCACTTCGGCAAATTTGGCAAAAAATCACTCAAAAAATAGTCAAAATGGTGATAAACTGCATGGTTTTGAAAGAAATTTTGGCCAGGGGGCTATATAAAGCTCAGAATAAACATGAGTTGGTAAATTCACCATAAAATATTATAGTAAATACCTATAATTGAGAAAGCTTGGCAGATCTACAGTAAATTCTAACTTTTGGCCATTGATCAGTAAAAGTCATTCTGTACAACTGCATACAAATATTACAAATATGATTTGTTAAAGCATGTGAGCATACTTACCCATATTTTTAAATCTTGAATCTTTAAATATCCGTTTCTTCATCATAGATATCATTCTGATCTTACCAGTTAAAACAGTCAAATAAAAAATTAAAGTCAATTGGACTACCCCCTTATGTCAATTTAAACCCAATACTACTTCTGTAATGCCTATCTATCAATTCCTGAATGAATGTACCCTTTTCACAGTTTGATTTTGAGTCTTTTATTAGCGATGTCTTTATTAATACAGGGTGTCCATGGAGTCACTTTACAATTAAAATACAAAGTTTGCATAAAGCATAGAGACTTAATGGACACTGTGTATATGGGCCACTGACTCTAATAAAAAAGAATGACAGTCATGTACACACTTACCCTTCCTGATATGAAGTCACTGTTTCAGTTTTGGTTTTTACAATGTCAACATGACTGTACCAAAAGGGAGACTAAGGTTTAACCATTGAAAATGATTTATTTTGGTCATCCAAATAACACACTTTCTTTCTCAAAATTTGAACGAGCTTCCTAATTTTCTTTCATTTCTATACAATTTGGAGTATTGACTACATCCCTGGTAACTTTATTTCTCGCAGATTCCACTCTTTTCCACTCTATTTTGCATTTCAAAACACAACCATCATGATATTTGAGCTACAGGAAAAGGATGAGGAAGTGGGTTATAAGGAAACATCTTCATGTTCCCATTATCCTCTTGAACTAAACAAAAATGTAAATGTTTTCATATGTTTGTCCCCTTTTCAAACACAAAAAGGTAGGATCAGAAATACCAAAAATTGGAATCAGCTGAAAAAACTTAATAGTATATAATGGTATGTAGTTGATATTTGAAAATGTATGTAACATGCCAGGAAATCAGGCAGTCTATTTAGATTTTGTAGTCTAAAAAGAAGAATATGTATTGTCATTTCTAACTTATTTAAGAATAGGAGGTCACATGAGAGGATATGGTGGAGAACAGAAGATGAATTATAATAGGCTAGAAAAGATAAATGGAACGTAACCACCATTTCTACATTTACCCCAAATCCTGAATGCATTAACGAAACACTACTCAAAATTACATTTGGATGGGAGTTGTTAAACCTGAATATAGACAATAACCCAAACCTAACTATAATCCTGGACAGGGTATATCATAGTAACTGTTCTCCTCCAATTATAGACAACTTACCCATTTATGGTATATACCATATGAAAGCTTATCCAAATATTGACTTATTGAATCAAATTAGTTCTGCATTAAGCCTCTGTACCCCTTTCAACTTCTCTCCAGGGGGAGGGGGGGGGGCTTGAGAGAGGATTTAAGGATAAGGATGTACAAGGATGTACAAGGATTTAGCAAGACTAAAATTTTGATAAGGCTCAACCTTGACCAAAAAAAATTTGATAAGGCTCTACCTTGATACATATTTTGTATCCATCAATTTAGTAGCCTTGTGCTATTCTAAGATTTACTATAAGAATGCTACCTTACAGCATATGGTAGTACTACAAGATAGGCTATGGTTGCTGTGAAATGTGGTAATGAAATAAATATGGGGAAAATGATTAATTTGAGTTCTCTATGTTTGAGTAATTGAGCTCAGTAGTGAAACACATAAAGTTAAACACCTCTATAAGTCAGACACCTGAGTTATATAAAGCTCTTCTTAAAGGCAAACATCTAAACAGTAAACACCTCTCTGATTGTTGAATACTAGACCCTTTTGAAAATCAAGCATCTTATACAGTAAAACACCCCTTTGTAAGTCAAACACCTCTTTGTGAGTCAAACACCTTTTTGTAAGTCAAACACCTTTTTGTAAGTCAAACACCTCTTTATGAGTCAAACACCTTTTTGTGGGACAAACTTATTTTTGTAAGCCAAACATCTGAAGTTAAACACCTCAATCAGGTACCAAAAGCCAAATCTGGGAAAAACTGTTTGAAGGACAGGTAATTTGTGCAATACACAAAAATACATCATCAGTAAACATTGTTCTTGTAAACACCTCTCTGTAATGAACACATGGTAAACACCATTTTTTAGAATATAAACTACATGGCTGTTTCCTTTATTTCTTGCTGATTTCACTCTTTTCCACTCTATTTTGCATTTTTAACCTGAAATAACAATGATATTTTAATGATGTTATCTTACTAGAGGGGTGAAGTAAGTTATGCAATAAAATGGAAACCCATGAATAAAACAGTCATGGCAGCCATGCTTACTTTATTCTCTCTCATTGTAATCTGTATAAACTGTCTGATTTCTCGCATTTTTATAGAATTCAGGTGTCGACGACATGCCTGTTTACTTTATTCCTTGCTGATTCCACCTATTTCCTCACTATTTTCGATTTTAAACATGAACA